AAGTAGTCAGGCATGGTGGCGCATGCCTATAATCCAGCTACTTGGGAGGCTGAGGCAGGAGAATCACTCAAACCCAGGAGGCGGGGGTTGTGGTGAGCTGAGATCAAGCCATTGCACTCCAGTCTGGGCAACAAGAGTCAAATTCCATCTCAAAAAAAAAATGGTTAATATATTAACCATGATTAAATATTTTGATATATTTAATATAGCAACCATGATAAAAAATATTTTGAAAAATGATCAGGTGCTAGGCCATCAAGAAATTGTCAACAGATTTTTGAAAATAGATGTCACACATACCACATCCTCTGAACATGGTAAAATTAAATTAGAAGCTAATATAGATATGAATCTCCATGCCCCTGTCCCCTCCCCCCAAAAAAGAATGTGGGCTTCTTGGCTTCAAATCCCTGCTCTGGAACATACTGGTTTTGTGACCTGTGGTGAGCTTCAGAGTGTCTCTGTGCCCCTCTACAAAATAGAAATGCAGGTGCATGCATCCCTCTGGGACTAAATGGGTTCAGTCAGGCCAGGAACAGCACAGACCAGTGGGAGGCAAACTCCTCCTGGAAAAGGCCAGAGAGTAAATGTCTCCAGCTGCTCAGTTCTGCCAGTCTGGCACAAATGCAGCCACAGACCATACACACACAAATGGGCATGGCTGTATTCTAATAAAATTTTATTAACAAAAGCCCCTGGCATAGATCCTGGCACTCGCTAAGTGCCATTCACACATGTTAACTGTTATAATGAAGAAAAATGGCATTTCTGTCAATTCACCTCTGCAGACTTATGAAAGGCATAATTCTTCTTGTTGCAGTTCTGAAAACCAATACTAATATCAAAGGCAGGAGGGAGAACCCATCCCCACTGGGGAGCTGCCCTTCCCACACTGTGAGGTACCCCTGGGTGCTTTCACCCCAGGCCTTCTCCTCTACTTTCCAGTATGAGGTTAGTGCAAAAGTAATGGCAAAAACCATGACTATTTTTGCACCAACCTAATAATTACCTCCGTGGCCACTCCTTGCAAGCACTTCTGTTTCCTGACTTCTACAGGAGGGGCTCCTAACCCAGCCCTTGACAGCATGAGGCCCCCAGAGCTCCTTCCCTGTCCCTGCCCCTCCCTGCTGACCACAGCCCCTGCACTGTCCATTTGGCCTCAGAAAAGCATAAGCAAAGAAAATACTTTCTGAAGACATCCAGGGATAGAGTCAGGATGCTGTGGTCCCACCAGTGGCCAGCCCTGGGGTCATTGTCTGAGCCCCTGCTTACAGCAACACCAATGGCCACTACCGACATAACAGTGACGTTCTTCCATTAAAAGCACTGAGAAGGGGCCAGGCAAGGTGGCTTACGCCTATAATTCCAGCACTTTGGGGGGCTGAGCCAGGCAAATCACCTGAGATCAGGAGTTAGAAACCAGCCTGGTCAACATGGTAAAACCCCGTCTCTAATAAAAATACAAAAAAATTAGCTGGGCATGGTGGTGGATGCCTGTCATCCCAGCTAGCTGGGAGGCTGAGGCAGGAGAATTGCTTAAACCCGGGAGGTGGGGGTTTCAGCGAGCCAAGATCATGCCATTTGCACTCCAGCCTGGGCAACAAGAAAGAAACTCTGTCTCAAAAAAAAAGCACTGAGAAGGCTTTTTGATTTATTTCTCATGCCACCCCTGTTGAAAGGTCGTTTTTCCAATCCAGAGGTCAGTGTGCTCCATGGGGCGACATCTGAGCTCCAGAGTCAGGGAGCCCCACCGCTGAGTCCCCGTGTCCCGAGACTCGACTCCCTGTCCAGTGTTCACATACACCTAACCCTGTGTGGTGCCATGCAGCTAAGATGAGGTAACCCAAGGCTAGTGCAAAAGTAGCGGGACGTTAAGTGATGACATTTCCTTATATGGCTCTCTTTCCCCTTATCCAGAAAAAGGAAGTGAACACAGAGGCACAGTGTGACCTGCCCAATGTCACACTGTCAGTACGGTGGGAGCTGGTCCTCAACACAGTTCCGCTGACCTAGGCCTGTCCCTCATACCGCTCAGCCCCCCACAACAGTGGCCACTGCTCTGACATTAGTTTCATTGTTAGCTAAAGAAGGACCCCAAATATGGGTGTGGAAGTTTGTTCTGTGACAAAGCTAAAGGAATAAACATTCTCATGGCTTCTTCACCATCATCACTCTCATAAAGGTGCTACCTTTGCCCAGGGGCCACACATCTGACCCCCACACCAACCTAGCCGAAGAGATCCCACTTCCCCTTTTATGCAGGACACGGAGGCTCAGAGAGGTTAATCCTCTTGCCCAATATCATACCATGATGAGAGATAAAGTACAAGCGAGTCCAACTTCAGAAGCCCTGCAGGTCGATCCCACTTTCACTGTGGGGAGCAGAATGACCCAGGAGAACTGGGGCACACTGCAGTCATCCTCAGTCTCCCCAAGGGAGGCCCCCATTTAGTTAGAAACCCCAGCCGGGAGGCACTTGCCCAATCACAGTTAAGTGAGGCGGGGCCTGAGTGGGAACCCTGGCAGTCTGGCTCCAAGCCCTAAGAGAGGCAAGGTCCACCCTCAAGGAGTTCAACAGAGCCATAGCCTGCAGTGGCCAACGTTGCTGGCTTATGCATTAGAAATTGTTCCCTCTGCCACTTGTCCCACAGCTCAATCCACCCTTACACACCAAGAGAGTGGGGCCACGGTCCTGCCACTTCCTCGTGCAGCCCTCCTGGCCAGGCCAAGGGGAGCCTGTCCCCCTCTCTCCCTGCACATGGCCCTCTGACAGCACGGACGGTGTCCGTGTAGTCACCTCTCCAGGACAACAGAGCCCCCACCAAAGTGGGCCCACCTCTCAGGCCACCTCCCTGTGTCCCATGTCCCCAGTCTCTAGTGGGCAAGATCTGCTTAAGGAAAAACTACACAAATAATCACACCGTATGTATATAAAAAGTTCTGAGAGATCCACACAATCTTTCTAGCAGTCTGGGAAAACCACGATGATGGATCCTGAGAGCTGGGCTTTATCATGAATCGTTCTCCAGATACACAAGGGAGGAGACATTTTTTTAGAGGGGAAAAAAAAGCACGTGGGGAAAAACCCAATTGTGAAAACATGACTACATAACACAGAGGCAGCAGGTATGGCTGAGACATCCTGGCGGGGAGAGAGGAGAGATGACCCAGGGAAGCCAGGATTTGAGGAACTGGTGAGGTCGTCGGAGCAGTGGGAGCCACGGGTGGTTTGTGAAGGAGGAAAATAGCAATCATCTCATTCATTGGGTCCGCACTGTGATCTTTTGGGGGCTGCTTACTGTAAAAAGACTCCAGGTAAGAATTACCCCAGACTCTGAAGCGGAGAAGTTCAGCATTACAGACCCGTACACGTCTCAACAACAACAAAAATCTTGCAAAAAGGCACAAGCCTCTGCCACAACATCAGTCTCTGCAGAGCCCACAGGTCTTGAGGTGGGTGGCAATGCCCTGCTAGGAAAGGATTCTAACCCTCCACCTCCCCGCTCCATCCGCGAATGTGTCCGTCCTTCTTGCCCATCCCAGCTAGTGGAGCCAACTCCCACCAGCCCAGGGAGCCAGAGGAAGGGCCAGCTCCTCCCATGGCCTCGCCCTCCACACCAACGGGTTGCTCTGATTTACAGGGAATGGCCCCGCTATGCCCAACATTCACTGTTGGGGGAGCCCTGGGAGAGGGGCTGAGGCTGCCCCTGCCCTCTCCACCTCCTCCTCTGCTCTGGGAGGCGGAGGCCATCAGATGGTAACAGTATCCTGGGACAGCTCCACCGCCCAGGCAAGCTCAGGAGGGGCAGGGGGATCTCCCTGACCTTGGTCTACAAGGAGCTGTCCAGATGAAGGAAGGGCGTTCCCGGAGAGAGCACAGCACGGGCAAAGGCCAAGGACAGTGTGCCTGCGAGTGTGTACAGATGGGGCGGGCGGCGGCGGAGGGCTGGCAGTTAGATACAGTATTGCCGGAGCTCAGAGAGCCGGGCAGAGGCTGGCGGAGAGCCGAGGCTGGCCCAGCCTTCAGACGGGCGGGCTGGGGTGTGTGGGGAGCAGGGTGCTTCTAAGGCAAAAAGAAGCGCCAGCCTCGTAAGCAGCCTCCATCCGGGCTGCCAAGGCCAGATCCTCCGGAGCCCACAGCAGTGAGGATGGAGCAATGGACCGAGGGGCTGGGGGCGAGGCCGCCGCGCACTGACTGACGCAGGTCAGCGAGGCCGCTAGCCCCGACGCAGGGCGCTGGGCAAGGCGTCTGGCACTACGGAGTCAATCCTTGCGCGCCATCTCCGGAGGCCGGTGCGCCCAGGGCGCGCAGGCCCGGCAGGAGGGTGGGTGCCAGCCTTTCTTCCCATCTTTCCAGCCTCCTCCCCGGCGCCCACGTGGGCGGAGCAGCGCGAGGGTGTGCGTGGCAGGGGCCGCGGCGGCGTGTGCCGTGCGTGGGGTGGGGTGTGGGCTGGGCGGCCTCGCCCTCGGGCTCCCCGCCGCCGCCGGGGCGCGGTCCCCAGCTCCATTTTCTTTGCCACCTGGGCGGGGATCTGGGAGGCTGCGACCTACCCTGTGGAAGACACGGAGGGGACCGGCCGGCCACGCCCCCCGCGCCACTCCCGCAGGCACCGGGTGGGTCCCCCCTCCCGCTCCTTGGCTTGGGGGCGGAATCTGGAGAGGAGTGGAAATAGGGGTGGCGTGAAGGAGACACGGGGGCTGGGGGCGGGGCCGGGTGGGGGTGTTGGGGGAAGCGACGCAGCGGCTGGGAGATTTTGCAGGGGGGCTCTGAAGAGGAGTGGGGGATGGGTACGGAAGGGTGGGGGACCACCGAGGTGGGATGAGAGAGGGGAAGGGGATCCGGAGGGGGCACGACGGCCGGAGGAGAGGGACATGGGCGATGGGGCGGGGTGGCAGCGGTCGCCGCGTCCCTCGCCGCCGGGTCCGCCCCTCGGTCGCGGGGTCCACGGGTTCCCTCTGGCAGGCGCGCTCCTCCCGCTCCCCGGCGCACCTGTACCCACCTGCTCGGCGCTCAGGCCCGAGCCGGGCAGCAGCAGCGGGCGTAGCGAGCGCAGCCCCGCGCCGCATCCTCCGGCCGCCCCCTCCCCGCTGCGAGCTTACGCCGCTGTCGCCGCCGCCACCGCCTCAAAAAGGACAAAACGGAACAGAAAATGAATGCATGCACAAAAAAATCGTAAAAAGCAATTGAGGAGGATGGCAGTCGCGCGCGCGGCTCGGCGAGGCGGGAGTGGAGAGGCCGCGGCGCTGGCGGCCGCGCTCGGGGCAGGCGGCCGGCGCGTGCCGCACGCGGGTGGCTGCGGCTCCCTCAGCAGCCGGCGCCCGGCTCCGGCACGGCCCCGCCCCTCCCCCGGGAGCCGCTCTCATTGGTCTGTCTTCCCGCCAGTCAGGCAGGAGGGCGCGGCGCCCGCCCCGCCCCGCCCCCGCCCCGGGCCGACGCCGGGAGCGTTTTGCCGCCGCGGGAGGAGGCGCGGAGCCGCTGGAGCGTGCGCACTGGGCCTGCGGCCGGCTGGGGCACACCTGGGGTCACCGCGCTGAGGGCCCCCCAGCCGCGCCTGGCACCCGGGCGTCTCGCTGAGTCGGAGCAGCCCCAGGGAGAGGCTTTCAGGCTCTGGTCAAGGCTCGGGCCCCGGGAAGCTGTCCCTGCCCTCCGGGGCTCGCTCCGAGAGTGGGGCTGGCAGGTAACGCGGGGCAGGGGTCGTCCTGGCCGTCAGTGGTCAGGAAGACGCAGCGACCCTGGAAACCCATGCCCCCTCTGTACGGATGACAGGTCTGAAGGTCAGAGGTTAAACTGCACGCTAAAGGCGGCAGAGCCAGGTGGATGCCAGCCTAGGGAGCCTCCCTCTTCAGCCCAGGCTGCCCCCCGGCAAAGCCACATCACCAGGTCATTGCCAGATGAACGAGGCGCTGTCGAGCTGAGATTCGGGAGGAGCAGGATTCAGCTGGGCAAACACTCATTCATTCAATGTCATTCGACAAATATTTATTGAGCACCTACTGTGTGCCAGGTAGTCACTAAGATGCGGGGACACCACTGTGAACAGCAGAGAGGAAGCGGCTACCCACCAGAGCTTACTTTCTAGCAAGGGGAAGGTAGGGAAGAGCACCCACCAAAGGAGAAAGCATGGAGGAATGCCCTGACTGGGGGAAAGGGGCATATATGAGATTCTGATAAAAGTGTCTGGGCCACAGAATGGTGAGAGGCAGAGTGTGGAAGATGGGGGCTGGGGGCACAGAGGGCAGCCCTTGCAAGGTCTTGCAGGCCGTGGGAGAGTTTGGAGACTGTCTCACCTGAAGGGTGGTCCGTGGGACCATTGTCAGATTGATATTCTTTAAAGTCCGCCGTCAGGATAAGCTACGTTAGCCACAGTAACAACCAAACCCAAATCTCCCTGCTTGTGTCTTGCCCACATCGTACATCCTTCCTCAGTCAGCGGGTCTGTGTTCATCGGAGCAGTCGGGAGCCCCAGCTGCTGGGGCTGTCTCCCAGCCAAGCACCCACATGGTGCAGCAGTGAGAACTGAAGGTGACAATTATGCTGGCTTTGAAAGCTTCCGCCCCCAAAGGACTCACATCACTTCTGCTCACGTTTCATTGGCCAGAGCAGGTCCCATGACCATGCCTAACTTCAGAAGAGGAGGAAGTGTGGACCTCTAAGGTTCAGGGAGTCAGGAGGAACTAGGATATTTGTGAGCAGATGTGAAACTATTCTTAGCAGATTGCACTGGCTGTCCTTGGTGCATGCGCTGAAGTTGTCAAGAGTGGGGACAAGGAGGCAGTGTGGAGACCTCCCCAGTGCTGACACAGTGGAGTATCAGCACACCAGAGTGGTCTGGGTGAAGAATTGGCAGGCCTTGCTCTTGGGCAGGAGGGAGGGAGGGACAATGCCCAAGTATTATGGGATGAATTGTGTTTCTCCCCCCCACCAAAAAAGAAAAAAACTCATATGTTGAAGTGAAGAGCTCACTTCCAGGATGTCAGAACATGACCTTACTTGGAAACAGGGTCATTGTAGATATAATTAGCTGAGATGAGGTCACACTAGAGTAGGCTGGTTCCCTAATCCAGTCTGCCTTCTATCCTTATAAAAGGGGGAATTTGGATACAGAGACACAAGCAAAGGGAGCATGCCATGTGAACATGAAGGTAGAGGTCAGGTGGAGGCATCAGCTAGCCAAGGAATGCCAAAGATGGGAGCAAAACCCTGGGAGCCAGGAGAGGGGCCTGGGACAGATCCTTCCCCAGAGCTTCATAGGAGGCGTGGACCAGCTGACACCTGATCTCAGACTTCTAGCTTGCAAAAGGGAGACAGTGCATTTCTGTTGTTTAAAAAGCCCAGCTGGTGGTACTTTGATACATGTGTATAGGTTAAGAGTTATATCTGGCTGTGAGTAATCAGGATCACAACTAGACAGTGGCTTAAACAGATTTTTATTCTCTCTTAACAAGAAACCCAAAGGCAAGCCATTCCTCACTTCATCTTCTCTCACTCTTTCACCCTCAAGATGTAATTTTCTTTTTCAAAGTGTCTTCTGGGTGGCAAGATGGCTGCCTCTTCCCAAACATCTCATCACTATTCTGGTCAAGAAGGGGAAGAACAAAATGCATACCCACACTAGGTCAGCTCCACTTCACTGCTTTCCTGTAAACTCTCCCAAGACAGCTCTGCTTTATTGCATTATTTCATTGGCTGGGACAGTGTCCCATGGCCAGCCCTGGCTTCAGAGAAGGCTGGGATTATTTTTTTTTTTTTTTTAAGACGAAGTCTTGCTCTGTTGCCCAGGTTGGAGTACAGTGGTGCCATCTCAGCTCATTGCAACCTCCACCTCCTGAGTTCAAGTGATTCTCCTGCCCCAGCCTTCCAAGTAGCTGGGACTACAGGCACGTACCACCATACCCAGCTTATTTTAGTATTTTTAGTAGAGACTAAAAATTCCATGTTGGCCAGGCTGGTCTGGAACTCCTGACCTCGGGTGATCTACCCACCTTGGTCTCCCAAAATGCTGGGATTGCAGGCGTAAGCCACCACACCCGGCCAAGGATATTTTTTCTTTTTTAATTGAGGGTACTTTGCTGTCTGAAACAAAGTCAGGGTTCCATTAGTGAGGAAAAGAAGAATGACTTTTGAACAGGCAGCTAGTGGTTGGTGGATCCAGGTTTTGTAAAACCTGGGGCCTCTACAATTTGGGCAGGCCCCTGAGGAAGAACAATTTGAAAATCCCAGTGCAGGCTAGGCACGGTGGCTCACGCCTGTAATCCCAGCACTTTGGGAGGCGGAGGTGGGCAGATCACGAGGTCAAGAGATTGAGACCATTCTGGCCAACATGGTAAAACCCTGTCTCTACTAAAAATACAAAAAATATCTGGGTGTAGTGGCACGCTTCTATAATCCCAGCTACTCAGGAGGCTGAAGCAAGAGAATCGCATGAACCCAGGAGGCGGAGGTTGCAGTGAGCCAAGATCACACTGCTACACTCCAGCCTGGGCAACAGAGCAAGACTCCATCTCAAAACAAAAAATAAAAAACAAAAAAACAAAAACAAACAAACAAAATCCAGTATGAGACTTGGTACAAAAATGAAAGCTTATTTAGAGTAACAACAAAGCACAACACATTGTAAAATATTTTAAGTTGACAAATATCAGAAACATTAGAAAACTAATATAAAATTTTATTAATTGGATACCTGACATCTACCTTTATAATATCTTTTTTTTTTTTTTACATTTTTTGGCTTCTTCATCATTTTTGATTATCTCTTCAGAAGCCAATGATTTTATAATATTTTTCCTGTGGAGAAAAAAGGTAATTCAGAGTACTCCTATAATGATGGGAACAAATTTTAATGTTGGTCAAAAAACTTTTTGTCAGCCTCATAACTCATTATTGGTAATGTCATGTAGTTTTTTGAGATTGTTTTCAAATTTGAAGTAAAATCTATCATTCTTTCATAAATAAATGCTAAGAGCTGGAAGAATTCTATTTCTTCCAGGTTTCTTATTGGGATTCTGTTAATTTTCATGATGAAAACCAACTGAACAATTGCAAACCAGAACATGACTGGACCAGCGCCTCCTAAACCTCAGTGCCGGTGCCCAGCACCTGGAGACGCATAGGAGAAATGCAGACGCCCAGGCTCGTCCACATCCCACTGAATTGAAGCCTCAGAGTAGCAGGGCCCAGGAATCAGTATTTTACTGAATGCCCCATGTGACTAACACCTGCTGAGCAGTCCTAGGTTATGTGAGCCCCCAGTTGCCTTGTAACTCTGAAAATCTGCAAATCCAGACCTCTCCTGTTGGAAGAATTACATTTTAAACCTCATGCCTCTTCCTCTGCCTATAGACCCTGGTGCCAGGCACCATAGCATGGATGCCAGTGCCGTGGTGAGGAGGGCACTCCTGGGAGCCATTAGCCTGTTCAGGGAGCAACAGCTCAACCCACACAGACTGGTTCAGTCCCACATAAACATACCCCTCTAAACCCAAACCAAGGCATCCCCAACTCAACCCCACTTCAGCTGCATCCCCAAAATGCCCTTGGCCTCCCCAGCAGCTCCCAAGTGAGAGGAAGCATGATTCGGGGGGTAGTGGGAAAGAGAGAGAGGGCATTATGGGTGGGATTGTGTCCTCCAGAACTTGAGTGCTGAAGCCTTAACCCCCAGGATCTCAGAATGTGACTGTATTTGGAGGGACCTTTAAAGAGGTCACTGAGCTTAAGTGAGGTCTTTGGGGTGGGACCTAATGCAATATGCCTGGTGTATTGCAATATGCCTGTCTCTTATAAGAAGAGGTGAAGACACAGAAGGAAGTCCCATGTGGAGACACAGCGAGAAGGTGGACATCTGCAAGACAAGGAGAGGGGACTCAGAGGAAACCAACACCTTGATCTCAGACTTGAAGCCTCTGGAACTGTGAAAAATAAGTTTCTGTTGTTAAAGGTCTTCAGTCTGTGGAACCCTGTTATGGCAGCCAGCTTAGCCAGTTACAGCTAAAATATCCCGCTTTTGCAAAATATGTCCAAATGCATGACCACATGAACCCAGAGCTCAGGCCTTGGACAGGTTTGTACTTAGCATCGCAGGGAATCCACCCCCACTGCCACCACGTGGTCACTGTATAATCCTCAGGACAACCTCTGAGGCGGGGGGCAGGTCTCTCAAGATCTCCCTGTTAGGGACAAGAGGCTGGGGCCCAGGGGCTCCCTCACAGCAAGCAGCGTGAAAGCCACGAGCCTTCCAAAGCCAAAACTGCTCTCCCCACCCCATGCGCCCTGGGCCCATACCTGGAAGTGGTAGGGAGACAGGTTTCAGCTCCCTATAAAGACTAACATTCTCATCA